CGCAGGATCTGTCCAAGGCAAGCGGCAGATCAGCCGCAGCCTTCGACGATGCGGCCGCCCCACATTCCCAGCCCGTCGCCCCTCTGCTCCTGCCCGGCCGGCCGCCGCCCTCACGCCTGCCGCTGCCCTCCACGCCGGCCGCCCTCGCTTCCCAGCGGGCGCTGCCCCTCGACCCTCGCGATCTTGATGCGCAGGCATGCACATGCACGCACAAGCGCGCCCCCGGTCGCCCGGATCCCACGCACCAGCTGTGCAGGCTCCTGAATCGCTCGTCCAGCCGCTCCAGCCGCGACAGCAGCTCCTCGTAGCTGCCCGGCAGGCACAGCCGGCACAGCACCACGTCCTTTGCCAGCTGCGCCGCCCACACGCGGCAGACGCAGCAGGCGGCGTCCAGCTCGCCGGGGCCCAGCTGCTCTCGCAGCAGCTGCGGGGCGGGGGGGGGGGGCGAGGGTATCGTGAGGGGTGGGGGGTTGGGGACGAGCTGGCGAGGCTGGCGGCGCCCCCTGCAGCAGCCGCGGTCGCGCACAAAGCGGATGGCCCTGCTGTCCTGGAGTTGTGGCCTTGGCTGGGCGTTGGGGCCCGCAGCCGTGGGCGTGAGGGCGACCCGCTGCTGAGCACGTCTGGCTGCGTGAAGGCCGGGCAGGTCGGTGCACATGCTTGAGGGTTGGCGTCAGCTGCCCCAGCGGCCAAGCCTGCCACGCACCTTGATGAGCGGTTGCGGCAGCATCCCAAAAGGCGCCATCTCTGCGGGCCACATGGCGGGGTGCGAGGGTGGGCGGACGGCGGTCGCGCTCTGCTGTGCGTGCCTCCCCAACCGCGCGGCAAGAGAGGCCCCCGCCGTGGATATACCTGCGTCGCGTGACGCGGCTGCGTCCAGCCACCGCATATTGAACGCACGGGCTACTTGAGGCGGGCCTCGCTGCAAGCACCCCGCGGGTGCTGCACAGTCCAAAGCACAACACGGTCTTGTGCCTAGTATGATCTCAATGCTCGCTCAGGAAGCATATCTATGGTCAACTACAATCATATGAGTGTGCAGTTGTGCGCCCCCGTCCTCGCCTCAAGAGGACGCGGGATGGATCCGCGCATTGTGGGAAGCTGGTCGCCTGGTCGATGGCCAGGTTGCCATGAATGACAAGCGGAATGATTATAAAGTTTCCTCATACTTTTTTCAAATTAGCCTGATCCCGCATAGCTCCCAGTGACCTAGCACACAGAAGACGCGCAGCATGCTGAGGGCGGCGCACCTCCCCCGCGCACCACAGGCAGCGCTCCGCCTGCAGCGCCCCCTGCCGTCAATTGCCACCACCCCTCTCGTCCCGCACTGCGTGGCGCGGCGCCCTCTCTCGTCCTCGACGGCGACCGCAGCGCTCCCGCCGCAGGCGATGGCGCTCTCCGCGGCCGCGGCGCTCGCGGCTGCGGCAGGCGCCGTGGCGTGGCTGGATGCGCGCAGCAAGGCGGCAAAGCCAGAGCTCGTCTTTGATCCAAACTGCGAGTTCACAACAACAGTGCTGTCGCGCTGCCCGACGCTCAAGTCCGAGTACCGGCCAGTGCCCCTGCTGACCAACCCCCATGTGCGCCAGCGGCATGCGCAGCCGAGCAGGGGCGCGAGTGCTGGCAGGCGGCTTTCCGGGCTCATGCAGCCGCCGAGCGCAGGGGTGCAGGAGGGCACGCGGTGCAGCGTGGCGTGCCCTTGCTGCGGCCGGCCATTCGGCCTCCATGGCAGCTGCCATGGCCGCGTGTGCGCGCACACCTGCAGTTCGGCCGCCACCTGAACCACCCCCATGCACATGGCGGCCCAACACCCGCGGCCCCGCATGGCCCCAAATTTAGCCCAGTCTGGCTCAATAGGGCCCAGCCGGCAGCCTCGAGTGTGCAGTGCGTGCCGCGTCGGCTGCCGCTGCCGCCACGCGTGGCCGCTGACCAGCCAGCCTGCTGCATTGCATGCAGGTCGAGACCATCGCCATTGCGAAGCTGCGGTCAGACCCCAAGCTGCCCTTCAGGCGCGAGATCATCCTGACGAAGGACGGCGGCGCCGTGGCCATAGACTGGGAGCACTTTGACATGGAGGAGCACGTGAGTGGTTGTTCCAACCTAGTTTTGATTGGGAGCGTTGTTGCTGCCCCTGTTGAGGCTGGAGAGGGGTGTTACAATTGTCTGCGCAAGCCGCGGCGAGGTTGTGAGGTGGTACTGTCTGAGTTGGTGGCCAGGCTGCGGACCGCGGCGGTGAGCTCGCGAGGCGCGGTGGGGCTTTTTTCGGGGCTGCGTTCGCGGCCCCCTCAAGCTCGACTCCGTGAGAGCGGCTCTTGGCCTGCCGGCTGCCTGGCGGATCCGCAGACGCAGTTGCGTGGGGCCCACGCAATCTGCACCCACGCCCACGCCCTCCCGCCTCGCGTGGTGTTGGTCGAGCCACGCGTCCGCATGTGCTGCCCCCGCGCCCCTCACGCCCCCCCCCCCGACCCTTCTATGACGGCACGATGTGTCATCACCCCCCAACCGCCCCCAGGAGTTGCCTGAGGACGCCCCCGTGATCGTCCTGCTGCCCGGCCTGACGGGAGGCAGCACCGACACCTACATCCAGCACGCGGTGCAGCAGGCCCGCGCCGTCGGCGTGCGCGCGGCGGTGAGCGGGGGCGGCTGCGGCACGCCAGGGCTGCTGCGCGGGTGTGAGGGCGCGACGACTGCGGCGGCCCCGCTCGACACGTTGCGGCGGGTTGTTTGGACCACGGCTTTCCCCTGTTTGCAGGGCACAACTATGAAGCTTCCAGACAGTCAAAACAGCAATCAAGCCTGTGTATGTACAAGTTCACCTAAACGTTTATCGCTGCGACGCCCGGTGCCCTGCACGCGCTCACCGGTGCCGCCGGTCGTCCTCCCCGGCGCGCTGCGGCTTTGCCCCAGGTGTTCAACAGCCGCGGCACCGCGTCGAGCCCCGTCCTGACGCCGCAGTTCTACTCGGCGTCCTTCACCGACGACACCCGGGAGGTGCGCTGACGGGGACCCTGGCCTCCCGGTGGGTGGCTGGCTGCTGGGTGGCTGGAACCTGGTGCGGCTGCCGGTCGGCTGGTGCCTTGAGCTGGTCAAACCAGCGACCGCCAAGACTACGACACTCATGAGACAGCCGCCGGGGCCGTGGCTGCCCTGGCTCAGGCTGGCCTCACAGCTGTGGGGACGCCAGCTGTGGTGACGGCGGAGCCGTCTGTGGGTGCATGCGCCTGCCGTGCGCGTCGGCTGCAGGCAGCAACGCCCTCGGTCCGCGCCGCCCCCCCCCCCTCCTGGCTGCGCACGCACCCCTGATTCATGCCTGCTCCATAGCTTTCACCCCGTCGCGCGTCGACCCCCCTGCCACCCCACACCTGCGCCCCCCCCCCGCCAGGTCATCAACCACGTCCGCGCGCGCTTCCCGCGCGCTTCGGCGCTGTTCGCTGCCGGCTGGTCGCTGGGGGCCAACATATTGGTCAACTACTTGGGAGAGGAGGGCGCCAACACGCCCGTCGACGCCGCCGTCTCAATGTGGGCGCCGCCTCGACGGGGATCCTGTGGGGCGCCTCCCGTTGCTGCTGCGGACGAAACAGCGCAAGGGGGCTCGCTTGCTGCGGAGCAGCGGCGTTGCTGGGGCGTGGCGCGCGTGGTCCGGCGGCCTGCCTCCCTTGCGCCGAGCCCGCGCCGCGAGCGATCTTGCAACATTGCAACATGCAACATGCAACAACAGCCCAGCACTCCTGGCCCCGGGCTGCGGTCGGCCGCCTGCCCCTCGAGCCCCCACTCCTGCCCACG